AAGCAGACCTGGCTGAGGCTGCTTCAAAGGTGGGCCTCAGCCCGTGGGGTGAAGGCAACCGTGCTGCTGCTTCTGCTGCTGCTGCTGGCGCTGCTGCTGCTGCTGCTGCTGCTGCTGCTGCTGCTGCTTCTGAAGATGAGTCAGTGGCCGTAGACCCCGTTCCAGTGTTCCCCAGCGCTCGCGCGCAGCAGCAGTATCACCATCATTATCAGCAGCAGCTGCTGCTGCAGCAGAAGCAGCAGCGAGTCATTGGTGCTGCTGGCGCAGCTGCTGCGCCATCTCCCGCAGAGGGCAGCAGCTTGCTGCAGAAGCAGCAGCAGCTCTCGGCCTCACTGACTAGGGGCTCCTCCGCAGTAAGGGGAAGCAGCAGCTGCAGCATGATGAATATGCTTTCATCTGCTTCGCTGAACAGCAGCAGCAGCACTGAGAGCAGCAGCAGCAGCGTCAGCAGCAACGAAAGATGCGCCATGACTCCTGCTGCTTCTCTAGGGTCGTCCCCCGCAGCTGCAGCGCAGGTGCGGCCAGCAGTCTCCCCACCGGCTGCTGCTGCTGCTGCTGCTGCTGCTGCTGCTGCTGCTGCTGAGGGGTCGCCTGCTGCCTCGCTGTGGGGCCTCTTCTTATGAGGGGGCAGCACATTTGCTGCAGAGCAAAATAGGCAAAATAAATCTCATTGAATTCAAAAGCATTCATCTGTTGCTTGCATGGAAGTGTAGATTGCTGCAGTTCCTGCTGCTGCTGCTGCTGCCTGCGCTGCTGCGTGGGTTTTATACAGTAGGACATTCTTGCGGCCCTTTGCAGGCGCCCAGCAGCAGCAGCAGCAACAGCAGCAGCAGGAGCAGCTGCAGCAGCAGCAGCAGCAGCAACTGACACTGGTAGCAGGAGCGCAGTTGCCTGCAGCCCCGCAGAGCCTTGAGCGGAAGGCGGAAGGTGCTGCTGCTGCTGCTGCTTTGGATGTCCGTTTTTGTTTATTCTTTGTGTCTTTTTCAAGAATTTTGTCTTAATCTGCTTGTGCATTATTTTATTTCCACTTGCTCATTTATGTTGCTGCCAGCAGCAAGGCTGCGTCTGCCTCGTGCCTTTCTTTGCTGTCTCGCAAACCCCACACTTTAATTAAATAGAAATGCATGCAGCAGCAGCTTTGCTGCTATTGCTGGAGTGTACAGACAGCTGCTGCACAGCAGCGCAGCAGAGGGAGTTACTGGGGCGGCCCCAGAAAGCTGCAGCAGCCCAGAAGCAGCAGCAGCTCCTCCTGCAGCAGCCGCTGCTGCTGCAGCAGCGACAGCAGCAGCTGCTGCTGCAGGCTCTGCTGCAGCTCTTCTCTTTCTTTTCTTTCCAGAGAGGTGGCTTCGCTAGCCACGACCTGCGCTTCTTTTAGGTGCATGCATGTCTATATATATATATATAATATGTACAACATAAAATGTAGAATACATAATATATATGAAAGTAACATATATATTTGTATAGTATATTTATATATATATATATCATGTAATATACATATACATATATATATTTATAGGAAATATATATGTGTACATATATACATGTATATATATATATATACATACATACATATATACATATATATATATATATATATATATATATATATATATATATATATATATATATATGCAACCAGCACACGGGTTTTATGAAGAAGCTGCTTAGTATGTGAACCTGCGCACTTGAACACGAGCAGCAAAAAGCACAAATATAAATAAATTAATAATAAATAAATTAAAATAAATAATAAAAACTAAAAATAAATAACTAAGTACTTGGGTCTATTATATTCACTGACATCAAAACGCATGCAAGTGAAGAGGCCCTTTGGCGCCGTTTGCCTTCTCAGGCAAGCAGAAGCAGCAGCTGAGCTGCAAAGTAGGCGCAGTGCTCAAAGACTTGCTGCTGCTGCTGCTGCTGCTGTTGCTGCTGCTGCTGGCGCCTCAGCGCCCAACTTGATTATCAGGAGCAGCAAAGGTCCTAAGAGGGAACTTCAAGGGGGCGAGGCGTGGCAGAATTGCTGCGGGCTTTGTGCTGCTGCGGGTGCTTCTTCGAAGCAGCAGCAGAGCAGCAACTCTGCAGCTGCTTCAGCTGCATTTTAGGGCTGCAGTTGCTGGTACTCCTGCTGCTGCCGCTGCTGCTGGGCCCATACTGTTTTGTTTAGCATTGTAGCATAACAGTGGCAATATTTACCGAAGTTATGAATAAATTATTTCTAAAATGTTTAATCTAGAACGTCAGCTGGTTTGGAAACAATAGCAGCATTTAATTTGTTTTGCAATTCTTGTTTAAAAGACATTTCATTCGCCATATTTACATTTTAAGTTTTATGCTTTTCAGAATTTGCAACATTTTCTTCGAATGAAGAAATTCCAAAATTGTATTGTATATACTTTTTATAAAATCGCATCTTCAAACGGAAGAAGTTGTTGCTGCTGGGACTGCTGCTGCTAATGCAACTGCTGCTCTTTCTGTTGCCTCTGTTGTGGGCAATTGGACTAGTGGTCCACAGCAGCAGTTTCATAGCAACTATTGCAGCAGAAAAAGCTCTGCGCCGCTGTCTTGTTGCCCACAACACACAGTGCATAGCCCTAGTTTAGCTAATAGGGAATTCTTAGCTGGCTAGCTAGCTAGCTAGCTAACAATTCCGTAGCTAGCTAGCCAAAAAATCCGTTTTAAGCCATCTATCTGGGGTGCGGATACGCAGCGAGAGCTGTGGCTAGCTAGCTAGCTAGCTATTTGACTGGCTAGCTAGCAGCTTACCAAACGCCTGCGCCACTTTTCTTGCTGCCTGACAAGCCACGGCTAGCGTCTGGGCTGGCCGTGGCTAGCTAGCTGCGGGCAGCTTCGCGGCAGCTCGGGAGCAGCTAGCCAAGTGCTGCTGCTAAGTTCACAGAGCTGCAGCTATGCCACAGAAATAGCTGCTGCAGACTTGCTGCGGCAGCAAGGGAGATGAAGAGCAGCACTTGCTGCTGCTGTGGCTGCAGCTGCTGCGCGGTGCTTGCAGAGAGCCAGAGGCCTTTGCTGCAGTTCTATCGGCGTATTTGACTTTGAAAGAAAGCTTTAATTTGCTTAAATGCATTAAAGTGAGAATTTGGAATGCCTCGAGACCAGATAGGAGGGCCAAAACTGCCCCAGGCAGCTAGTTTCCTGCCCTGGGGGGTAGGCGTGGCTAGCCATGGCTTGCTGTGGCTAGCCGTGGCTAGCTATGGCTAGCTGTTGCTGCCTGTGACTAGCCGTGGCTAGCTGTTGTTGGCCGTGGCTGGCTGTTGCTAGCCGTGGCTAGCTATGGCAAGCTGTGGCTAGCTGTGGCTAGCTGTGGCTAGCTGTGGCTAGCTGTGGCTAGCTGTGGCTAGCCACACAACGACGCAGCTCTGGGCGGCCAAGCTGCCCGAGCGCCAGCCTGGAGTTCCTGCGGCGCCGCCAAACATTCAAATACAAACAGCCACAGCAGCTGCTGCAGTTGCTGCAGTTGCTGCTGCTGCTGCTGCTGACTTCAGCAGCAGCAGATGTGTGTGTCTACCCAGGCCCTCAGTCTTTGCCAAAAGCATCGAAGTTCTTATCTCGGCTTCTGAATTGTGAGAAGTGCGTATGGGCTGCTCTGCGTGCACGTTGCTGCTGCTGCTGCTGCTGCTGCTCAGCAGCAGCAGAAGCAGTTTTTGTGCAGCAGCAGCCCCAATAACAGCCACAAAGGCAGCAGCACTCACCTCAGTAAGTGCTCTGCCGGCGCAGCTGCGGGGCTGAAGGAAAAAGCTGCTCCATAAGTTCTTTTGAGTGTCTCACGAGGGCCCTGAAGAATTCGAAATAAACAAATCCAGCTTCTAGACCCCGCAAAAATGTTTAGGGTTTAGCGAAGATGGGGGCCCCGAACGCGCGGCCTAGAGTTTTGCTGCTAGGGTTTAGGGTTTAGGGTTTAGGGTTTACAGCCGTAGGGAGTTCGTCGAGGCGAGGATGCAGCCAGGATGGTCATGGCTCTTGCGGTGAGTGGCTTGAACAACAACCTGCAGTTCCTCCCACAGACACGCAAGAAACTCCATGCTTTTAGTGCTTCAAGCTAGCTAGCTAGCTAGCTACCTAGCTAGCTAGCTAGCTAGCCAACTGTCTAGGCACCTTAGCTGGCTTGCTGACTAGCTAGATATCTATCTAGCTGCCGCAGCTAACTGGCTAACTAGCTAACTAGTCAGCTAGCTAGCTGGCATAGCTGGCTGGCTGGCTAGCATGCTAGATAGCTACCTAACTGCCCTAGCTAGCCAGCTAGCTAGCTAGCTCCCCTAGCAAGTTGGCTAGCTAGGTAGCTAGCTAGCTAGTTGGCTAGCTAGTTTGAGTTTGCAGTGCACTGCGGGGCTCCCACAGTCCCCCGCCCCTGCGCAGCCGCCCTTGAGGGAAGCCCGCGTTGCGGGTTTTTCTGAGAGCCTTTAGGGTTTCTGGACTGAGGGTTTAGGGTTTAGGGTTTAGGGTTTAGGGTTTGTGGTGCAGCGCAGGGGCCTCAAAAGTGGCGCTGCAGCAGCAAAATGACGGACCTTTACTGTCTCAGAGTCTGTCATTTCATCTTTGATGGAAACTGTTGGCCGCTGCTCTGCTTTCCACTCCCCTGGCCGCCTGCAGCAGTAGTCTTCCAGCAGCAGTTGCAGCTCCTGCGGACTCAGCGCAATTCAAAAGCTGCAGCTTTTCCAGCACTTGGAAATTAAAATTAAAATATAATTAAGGGCACAAGGCTCCTGTACTGAAGTAGGTACATGGGTTGCTGCGAGGTGCAGCAGCAGCAGCAGCAGCAGCAGCAGCAGCAGCAGCAGCAGCCAGAACTGCAGCAGCAGCAGCAGACAAAACAGCAGCAGCTGCAGCAGCCGCAACAGCAATAGAAGCAGCAGTAGCCAAAACAGCACCAGCAGCAGCCAAACTATCATCTGCGGCAATCAAAGCAGCAGCAGCAGCAGCAGCAGCCAGCGAATGGAGGCCGGGGACTCTGGGGCGGACCGTGAGGGTCTCGGGCTGTGCATGTTCCTTGCGCATGAAGAACTCCACCTGTACTTTGGCGTGGGGCGGCTTGCGGCTGTCATTCGATATTGCCTTGTGCTTCAGCAGCCGCACAGGAACTTCCATCTGCAGCAGCAGCAGCAGCAGCAGCGGCAGCAGCAGCGCAGCAGCAGCGGCAGCAGCAGCGGCAGCAGCAGGAACAGAAGCAAAACGTCAGTGAAGTAGCACCAGTAGCGGCACTGTCAGCAACAGACCTGTCAATGGCACAGCAACGGAGGCACTACCGGCAGTATCAGCAGCAGCAGCAGCAGCAGCAGCTGCTGCTGCTGCTGCAAAGGAGAGCATGGGCTGCATACCTCTGTGCCATCTTCTCCAACCTCAAAGATGCATGCATGTAGGCCAACGGCAACGCATCTCGCCCTGTAGAGGACCAGCGTTCCTGCGGCTGCTGCTGCTGCTGCAGTTGTTGGCGCTTTACCTGCTGAGGCGGCAGCCGCGAGCGCCGAGGGAAGTCCAGCAGCAGGAACAGAAGCAGCAGCAGCAGAAGACAGCGACAGTGCTGCTGCAGAGTCCACTGCAGCAGGGAGGGCCTCCTTCACAGACACAATATCTCCCACGTCAAATGGGTGCAGAAATCCCATATAATGGGCTTCTTCCCACAGCTCCTTGAGCCGGCCGACTGCAATTTCAGGCAACAGCAGCAGCAGACACAAATACAAAAACGCATGCAAGTTTATGAAAAGCACTTGGGACACTTCAGTGCAAAAAAACACCCCAAAAAAGGCACATTTGAAACGAGTAAAGTTGAACTTCGGGGTGCATGCGTTTCTGCGCCTCCAGATAGGTAATGAACTTGAATTTCAAATAAATGTAATTGTTATTATTGTTACTATTGTTATTATATTCAAATATGGACTGCCTATAGATAAAGGAATTTAGTATACATTGCCTAAGGCTAATTTACTTGAATATAAAATGCCTCTTCTGCCTGTGCTTGAGTATGAACTGCCCTGTTAAATGCACTTGCAAGTGGAATGCATGCAATTATTCTGTTTGAGAATTAATTAAATATAATTAATTGCCTATAATAGTTGTATTTAAATATGACTGGAGTTGAACAGAAAGTGCGGATGGTGAAAAGACTGAGTGTGAACTGCCTGAGGCGACTTCGCCTGAATATTAACTGTCTATGTTTAAAACTTGAATATGCGCTGCTTAGGGCCATTTGTCTTTAATTTAAATTAAACATTACTAATATAATTGAATGTGAACTGATTGTGGCTATTTTCTCAAAACAAATGGCCTCTGGCGACTGGACTTGGCTGAGCTTCAAGATGAAACGCCTCTCTTTTATCTGCTTGAATGTGGACAGTTTATGTTACCTTGCTAGCTCATGAATTGCGAATGACTAATTCATTATTCATGAATTGTGAAGGGCAATACAAGTGAATATGAGTGGCAGAGGCTTAGTGAGCTTGAACAAGGGCTGCAGATGATGAATTCTTTTCAATATGAAAACGCACAAGATTGCCTTTTTTGAATCTGAACTGCATATGGCTGCTAAGCTCGAATATAAGTTGCATGCAGCTAATTTATTGAGTGGGAACAGCAAATAATAAATGTGTTTTGAACTAAATGGCAGGAGGTTGCTGCACTTGACTAAGAGCTGCAAATAGTCGTTGTGCTGAATGTGAACTACGGGTGGTAAGGACATTTGAATTTGAACAGCATATAAGCATTTTATTTATATATTTATATATTATTTGCTGATGGCTGCTTCATTTGAGCTTGGGCTGCAGCCACAGTGTTTGAACTTGAACTAAAGACTGGCTTAAAGGCGCAATTCGAAACAGCGTGGGCTTATTGAAGAAATGACTAGAAAGCTCCAGATGAAGTGTTTGCTCATGTGCATGCAAAGAGAAAAAACGAATAGTGAAAAAGGCTAAATTTGATGAATTCTGCTTCCTTGTGAAGCACTCGCAGAAAGACAGACTACCCCTAAGCCAGCTAAGAAAGCAGCAGCAGTAGCAGCAGCAGGAGCAGCAGCGGCCCCGCAGTCCCCTCGACCCCCTAAAGACCTGCATTTATGCCTCTATAAGTCTATTAAGATGCTATTTAAACTAGCTGCTGAGGAGAGACGTGCACGGAGCTGCGTCTGCTGCAGCAGCAAGCAAGGCGTCGTGGGAGCCGGTTGATGCAGGGGAGTGCATGCGCATGCAGCAGGTGTACGTACACCGCAGACCCCACAAAAACACTCACGCGATACTGCAAAGCCCACGAGAAACAAAACCCCCAAAGCCAGCGCCAGCCACTGCAGAAAGTTCAACTGCGAAAGGCCCAAAGCCAAGACCAGCCCCAGAGGCGCAGAAAGCCCCAGCAGCACCAGACTCGTCTTCCGCAGAATCGTCTCGTTCAGCTGCCACACACACGCAAACCCTAAACCCTAAACCCTAAACCCTAAACCCTAAACCCTAAACCCGAGGCCCGGAACCCTAAGCCCGAAACCTGGTACCCAAAACCCTAAACCCGAAATTCTATACCGAAGCCCTAAACCCTAAACGCTAAACCCTAGACCCTAAATAGAGGCAAGGGAATCGAAGGCAGCAGCGCTGCTGCCCAGACGCAGCCCCAGCAGCAGCTTCAAACCCTCAGCTCCTCCAAACCCTAAAACCCTAAACCCTACATGCCAAACCCTAATTAAAAGCCCCTGCAATATATTGCCCCTCGGGGCCTGTGAAAAGAGCCTTAAAGTCTGTCTTTAAGATTAAATGAATTGATTGAATTAAATAAATGACTTGAGTTAAATTGATTAAATAAATTAAATTATTTAATTAAATCAAATTAATTAATCGAATTAAATCAATTTATATTATCAACTTGCCCTTGCAGCGTGTCGCAGCTTCAGCTGCTCTCTGTAGGCGTCCATAAGGCCACAGACGAATTCGCCGCGGGTTATAAAGTCAGGGTCTGTGGGGCCCACAGCCACCCCAAACCCTAAACCCCAAACCCTAAACCCTAAACCCTCAGCCGCAAGCCCTACCGAACGCCAGCTACCCGCCGGAGAGCCAGACAATTAACTAAGGAAGTTGCGCAGCTACAAGCAGCAGCTGCTGCTGCGGCACAGCTCGCATGCACGCAGTGCCCAGAAGAAACGCAGGGCTAGCAGCAACAGCAGCAGCAGCAGCAGCAGCAAAAGGTTCTTACTAGCCCTTTCAAATGAGCGGAAAAAGAGGGTTGCATCATCGTGTCTCAAAAAATATAAGAAATGGTCCAACGTGAGCGCTTTCTGTTGCATCCCGTATCTGCAGTCAGCGTTTGCTTCTTGCTGCTGCAGCGGCAGCAGCTGCTGCTGCTGCCGCTGCGTGTCTCCAGACGCAGTGCTGCAGTCCCTCTGGCTGCTCCCCACAGGTTCGCCGCGCCAAAGAGGAGGCCCCAGAGTTAGCCGCCTCTGAGGTTCCGCTCGCTGCACCAAGAATACACACATTTTGAGTTTAGTCATGCATGCAGCAGCAGCCGCAGCAGCAGCAGCAGCAGCAGCAGCAGTGGAGAGCGCTCGCACCCGAAGTGTTAACTTACTCCCTGAATCGCTTCACAGACAAACTGCCGATCTGCGCGCCGCCTTCGCC